TGTGGGACCCTCCCGGCCAGGTGTGGGATATGATCTCCTGGTGTGCCGGTTTGCTTAAAGCGCAGTATTGGGGTGGGAGTTACTCAATTTTCCAGGTGTTGTGTGTCTCAGTTCCCCTGGCTAGGAAAAGGGATTCCCTTCCCCCTTGCGCTTTCCAGGTGAGGCAATGCCTCGCCCTGCTTCAGCTCTCGCTGGTCGGGCTGCAGCAGCTGACCAGCACCGATCGTCTGGCACTCCCCAGTGAGATGAACCCAGTACCTCAGTTGAAAATGCAGAAATCACCGGTCTTCTGTGTCGCTCGCGCTGGGAGTTGGAGACTGGAGCTGTTCCTATTCGGCCATCTTGCTCGTCAGATCTTTAAAGGGTAGACTAGCGAGAAGTCTTAAGAGATGACTGCTCAGGTGAGGAAGGCAGAATCAATCAGATGGAATTAGCAGGGAAGTAAAGTTCAACTGTTGGGCCAGGTTGTAGCTGCTTTGGCACTCAGAATGAAGAGTTCTGTGTGTGTGTCCTGGCATGGAGAGTTATTTCCTTTTTCCTTCAGTTAGGTTGACCCTTTCCATTTGTGTAGGACCTGTGCACATGTTGTACTGGGCCCCCAGTCAAGTTGCTTATCTAAAATTCTTTCAAACTGTTTCCCTATTATCTCCTTAACTGTTGTCTTCTTACTCTGCTGAACGTGTCTACTCTTTTACCTCACTGCTCCTGTTCATGCCCCTACTTCTGCTGTTGAGATTTTGTGCCTGTTTTTCAGAGTAAATAAACTTTTCTTGTCCTTGTAGATATTACATTGTTTAGTTTTCTCATCTGAGTTTTCTTTTCCTAAGCACAGGGTACAGATTACATTTGTATTTTATATTTATATATTATATGAGATGGAGAGACTAGAGAAGAGAACAAGCTGTCGATTCCTAAGGAGAAAATTTCAGAAGTACATTCATACAAAGTGATAGTAGGAAGACTCAAACACAATATTACCTAAGTTAGAGACTAGAGAAGTGTATAAGTCTGAGGACAGATCAGAAGGGCTTCAGGAAATTCTAAGGAAATTACCTGGAAAGTGTAGCCAAATAGTGATCAGCAAAGAAACCTTCACCAGTGAGAAGAACAATGAATGTAATAAACCTGAAAAAAGCTTCAGTCTGGACTCTACTAATGATGCAGATCAGAAAGTTCTTAGAATACAGAATACTGATGATAATGATAAGAATGACATGAGCTTCAACCAGAATTCAGCCTCTGGTATACATGAACACATAAATCTAACACAGGATTTTCAGAGTAGTAAATGTAAGGAAAGCTTAATGGATCTCTCCCTCCTTAATAAATGGGACAGCATCCCTAACACTGAGAAATCCTATAAATGTGATGTATGTGAGAAAGTTTTCCATCAGAGCTCAGCCCTTACTAGACATCAGAGAATCCCTACTAGAGAGAAGCTCCACAAATGTAAAGAATGTGAAAAGTCTTTCAGTCAGAGCTCAAGTCTTAGTCAACATAAAAGAATACACACTAGAGAAAAACCTTACAAACGTGAAGCACCTGATAAATCCTGTGAAGCGTCTGACAAATCCTGTAGTCCAAGCTCAGGCATAATTCAACACAAGAAAATTCACACCAGAGCCAAAGCTTACAAATGTAGCAGTTGTGAAAGAGTCTTCAGTTATAGTGTCTACCTTACTCAACATCAGAAAATTCACAAAGAGATGCCCTGTAAGTGTACTATATGTGGCAGTGACTTCTGCGATACTTCATACCTGCTTGAACATCAGAGGGTCCACCATGAAGAGAAATCCTATAAGTATGATGAATATGGATTGGCCTATATTAAACAAGGAATTCATTTCAGAGAAAAGCCCTATACATATAATGAATGTGGAAAAAACTTCAGATTGAATTCACATCTTATTCAGCATCAAAGAATTCACACAGGAATGAAACTGCATGAATGTTATGAATATGGAAAAGCTTTCAGTCAAACCTCATGCCTTATTCACCATCAAATAATGCATAGGAAGGAGAAATCATATGAATGTAATGAGTATGAGGGCAGTTTCAGTCATAGCTCAGAACTTATCCTGCAACAAGAAGTCCTCACCAGACAGAAAGTCTTTGATTGTGATGTACGGGAAAAGAACTCCATTCAGAGAGCACACTTCGTTCAATGTCAGAGCATTCATACCAAAGAGGACTCATGAATATAATGAGGGTGAAAAGACATTTAGTCTAGTCAAATTCAGGCTTCATTCAACATCTGAGGTTCACACCAGGGAGAAATCACGTACGTACTACATGTGGTAAAGCCTTCAGTCATAGCTCAACCGTTACTCAGCATCAGATAATTCAATTTTCATGCTATTAATATTTTCATGCCTTAGTCACATTTGGAGAATTCATATGGGAATAAAATTCCATTACTGCAATGAATGTAAAAAAGCCATCAGACAAAGAAACTACCTTGTTTAGTATCAAATTCATGCGATGCAAAAAGATTATAAATGTAATAAACGTGTATGTGCATGAGGAGATTCAGTCATAACCCAACGCTCATTCAACATCAAAGAATCTATATCTAAGAGAAGTTACTTGATTGTAGAAAATGGCAAATCTTTCAATGGGAGTTTAACTAGTCTTTGTCATATCAGAATATTCATAGTAGACAAGAATTTGATGTAATGCAAATGGAAAACTTGACACCACATTTCAGGCTTTACCCAGCCTCAAAATAATGGAAAGAAAATTGTTGGTTATTTAGTTATGAAATTGTTAATACATAGTCCCAATCTTTATCATTGCACAAGAATCTAGGGGTGACTTGGTAAATGCAGTGCCATTTTCTCATGGCATTCCTTTATTTAATATGTGTTCTAAGTAGGTACGTTCATTTTTACTTTTTTATTATAATAATTTTGATATTAAAAAGAACAGAGATGGGGGTCTCACTTTGTTGCCCAGGCTGGTCTTGAACTCCTGGCCTCAAGCTGTCTCGTGACCTTGTCCTCCCAAAGTGCTGGGGTTACAGGTGTGAGTCACTGTGCCAGGCCTATTTTATAAATAGAACTCATTTCAGCTGTTTTTATTTTAATATGCCCTATGAACATTTTTATTTTTCTTGAAATTGGATCTTAGTGTTCACAATTTCCATAAGATACTCCTAATGCACCAGTATTAAAACACATCAACGTAAGTAGCTCATTTAGCTTTTTCTGCTGTTCTTGGCCCAAGTTCCTCCAAAACCGACTCTTAGGCCTATTCTTTCCTAGGGACCCTATATTATTGCTTTACAGCCATGACACTTGGATGCCTGTTTATTGACTTCTCCATTCCCTTAAGCACCTTTAGAAGATTTAGAAGATTCCTAGTTTAAAGCATTTCACCAGCGAGTATTCCACATCTAGTTGATGTTGCTGGTCTGATGTCTTATTTCCTAAAGTGAAGCATCTTTTTAAAAAAGAATTGGATTTAAAATATATCCAGTTCAATATAAGTATGAATATAAGTAAGTGTTCTCTATCCTGAGTTTTTAGCAGGCAGCCAAACATTTTCAAATGATGCCCAAGATTTTGGTTGCCTTGGGTGCATCCACAGCCTGCAAAGAGAGATGATAAGATATCAGGGACCCAACAAGACTCCTGGTAACCTCACTACATACATTCAGTGCCTATTCTGCTTGCCTAAGCTTAGAGTTCTTTTATATACCTCTAAGGCCAGCAAAATGCTCAGGTCTCCTTTGGTAGGGTAAACATAAGAACATACACAGGCTGGGTGTGGTGGCTCACATCTGTAATCCCAGCACTTTGGGAGGCCGAGATGGTTGGATCACGAGGTCAGGAGATGGAGACCATTCTGGCCAACATGGTGAAACCCCATCTCTACTAAAAATACAAAAATTAGCCGGGGGTGGTGGCAGGTGCCTGTAGTCTCAGCTACTCAGGAGGCTGAGGCAGGAGAATCGCTTGATCCCTGCAGGTGGAGGTTGCAGTGAGCCGAGATCGCCGCTGCACTCCAGCCTGGCCAAGACTCCATCTCAAAACAACACAACACAACACAACACAACACAACACAACACAACACAACACAACACAACACAAAAACATACAAAAAAACCCCAGCATCGTAAGGGAATGAAGCCTTTCAACAGAGATGATGCTGTTCTTACGTTAGTCTCAGAGACAATATTTCAAGAGAGTGGCAGGTCTGTTCCTGGTAAAATTTTAACCTTTAGAATTGCAGATAAATGTTTGAATTCTCCCCCACCCCCCACACCAACCAGTCTTCCCTCATCAATCCAGGACAGTATTTGAAGTATGAGGGTTTTGTGTTAGTTGTTTATCCATTATCACATTTTTGTATTTTAATAGTCTACAGGTCATATAAAAGAACATGGCTTTTTGATTGATAAAGGGGATTATAGATGTTGGCTCAAGTTCAGGGCCACCATCATATACCTAACAAGAGCTCATGCTTCTTTAGGTAATGTCAAAGCATTTTGTATTTTTCCATCTTAAGCTATATAACATTTTGTGAATAAGACAAGTGTTATTTAAAATTCTAGTTGTCAATCCAGGCTTTCGTAGTTCAGATGTTATAATATTCGCTAGGGACCATCAACAAATATATAAAAATACATTGCTCACTCTATAATCCTCCTTTACAAAAAGTGTCACAGAGGGTGTCCACCCACGGTGATATTAGGGGCCAATATAATCATCTCCTTTGTATATTACAAATAATGTCACAGAGGTGGCATATTGTCACCTCATTATGTGACATAATGTCACATAATGTCCACCCATGGGGATATTTGTGGCAATATAATTATCTCTCATGAATATTATGAATAATGTCACAAAGGGTGACCACCCATGCTGATATTAGGGGCAATGTCATCATCCGCCATGGATATTACAAATAATGTCACTGAGGGTGTACACCCCCTGTGATATTAGAAATAATTTCATCTTTTTAGGATATTATGAATAATAGTAGCACTGAAAATGTACACCTTGTGTGACATTAGAAGGAATATAATCTCTTTCCTTGGATATTATGAATAATAGTATCACCGAGTGTGTACATTCCATGGGATATTACAAGTAACATCATCTACTCCCTTGCATATTACGAACAATAGCATCACAGAGGGTGTACCTGTACAATATTAAGAGTAACATTATCTCCTACCTTGGATATTGCAAATAATAGCATCACAGAGGGTGTACACCCCATGTGATATTAGAAGTAACATGATTTCCTCCTATGGATATTACGAATAATAGCATCACAAAGGGTGTACGTACCATGCGATATTAGGAGTAACTTTATATCTTTCCTTGTACATTACAAATAATAGTATCACAGAGAATGTATACCCTGTTCAATATTAGGAGCAACATCATTTCCTTTTCTAAATATTATAAATAATAGTATCACAGAGGGTGTACACCCTCTTCGATATTAGCAGTAACATCATCTCCTTTCTGAGATATTACAAATAATAGTATCACGAAGGGTGTACACCCTGTGCTATATTAGGAGTAACATCATCTCCTCCCTTAAATATTACGAATAATAGTATTACAGAGGGTGTACACCCTGTGCGATATTAGAAGTAACGTCATCTCTTCCCGTGGATATTCTGAATAGTATCACAGAGGGTGTAAACCCCTTGTGATATTAGAGGTAATATCATCTCCTCTGTTGCATATTACAGATAGTACCACAGAGGGTGTACACTCCCTGCGTTATTAGGAGTAATTCCTCTCCTCCATTGGATGTTATGAATATTATCACAGAGGGTGTACACCCACTATGATATTAAGAGTATATCATCTCCTCTTTTGGATATTACTAAGAGTATCACAGAAAGTGTACATCCCCTGCAATATTGGGAGTAATATCATCTCCTCCCTTGGATATTATGAATAATATCACAAAAGGTGTACACCTACTACTATATTAGGAGTAATATCTCCTTCCTTGGATATTATGAATAATATCACAAAGGGTGTACAACCACTGAGACATTAGGAGTAATATCTCCTCCCTTGGATATTACAAATATAATCACAGAGGGTGTACACACAGGGTGTGTAGGATATTAGGAGCAATATCACCTCCTTCCTTGCATATTACAAATAATATCACAGAGGGTGTACATCCACTGTGATATTAGAAGTAATATCATCTCCTTTTTTGGATATTATGAATAATGTCACAGAGGGTGTACACCCACTGCGACGCCAGGAGTAATGTCATCTCCTCCCTTGGACATCATTAAGAATAATATCACAGAGGGTGTACACCCACTGCGGTATTAGGAGTAATGTCTTCTCCTCCCTTGGACATTACTACCAATAATATCACAGAGGGTGTATGCCCATTGCGATATTAGGGGTAATGTCATCTCCTCTCTTGGACTTTATTACGAATAACATCACAGAGGGTGTACGCCCGTTGTGATATTAGGAGTAAGGTCATCTCCTCCCTTGGATAGGTGACACTGAGGCCATGTCACAGAGGGTGTATGCCTATTTTGCGATATTGGGAGTAAAGGTCATCTCTCCCTTGGACATTTTTTACGAATAATATCACAGAGGGTGTAAATTTTTACGAATAATATCACAGAGGGTGTACGTCCACTGCGATATTAGGAGTAATATCATCTCCTACCTTGGACATCGTTACTAATAATATCAGAGAGGGTTTAAGCCTACTGTGATATTAAGAGAAATGTCATCTACTTTTTGAATATCATTGAGAATAATATCACGGAGGGTATACGCCCACTGCGATATTATAAGCCTACTGAGATATTGGGAGTAATGTAATCTCCTGCCTTGAACATGATTATGAATTGTATCACGAAGGGTGTATGCACACTGAGGCGTTAGGAGTAATGTCTTCTCCTCCCTTGGACATCATTACGAATAATATCGCAAAGAGTGTACATTCACTGCAATGTTAGAAGTAATGTCATCTCCTTTCTTGAAAATCATTATGAAAAATATCACTGAGGATGTATGCCCACTGTGATATTAGAAGAAATATCATCTTTTTTCTTGGACATCATTGCGAATTATTTCACAGAGGGTCTACACCCACTGCGATAGTAGTAATAATATCATTTTTCCCCTTGGATATTACGAATTATATCACAGAGGGTGTACACACAGGGTGTTTACGATATTAGCAGTAG